CCAGCTTCTGGAAGCTCTTTTTAAAGTAAGGGAATGCAAGTACATGCAGGAAAATAACTCACACAAGCCCGGTGAGCAGAATCCAGGTTTTACCAGGAAGACCAGGAAAAAAGTAACTGGAAGTTGCACTGTTCATCAAAGCCATCTTCCCAGAGGGAAGGAGACCAGGAGACGGAGACCTACAGAGACCCATGGGGAGCAGACATGGAGAGGGACCTCATAGGAAGAGGTGAAGTCTGGCTCCCATCAGAGAGCACAGAGAGGAAGCAAGGAGGGAGGTGGAGGAAGGGGAGAAGGAGTCAGGAAAGAAGCTGGCCTGTCTGTCAGTCTGTCTTTCCACCAGCACAGGCCTCTCCTTACACAGGGAGCCACGACCGGACAGGTGAAGCCTTTCGACCAGCTCAATCATTGTATTTATTCTAATTGTATCGTAATCGTCCCCAAGGAGCCTGGTTCAAATGAGCTTGACATTATTAAAATTTTAATGCCCAGTTTTCATAGCTGAATGAATATTTAAAGGGTATGTCCCAGCTTAAGTTATGATGATGAAGAAATTAATGGAATGTCTTGTTTAATGCATGGATATGTGTTGATGCAAAAAGTGGCAGAGGGCCTGGGAGGGGGAAGGGTGCCACAGTCAGAGTGGAAAGGGCTGGGGAAGGAGCCACCTGCCTGTGCACCCTCTCCTACAGCAGGAAGCAGAGGTGGCCCCTCATGGCCAGGACCTCTCGCTCCTCCTGGAGGAGGGTGTGTGGCTGGAAGAGAAACACAGCTAGTGGTGATCCCAGGGGACAGGCCCCAGGAGCCTCCAAGGAGGTGTCAGGGGGCTGTTTCTGACTCAGGGAAGGTGGCCCGAGCTGGGCAAAACTCCTCTTGGACACCTGAAGGCCACAGGGCCACTGTGTGTGTGGGGGAATGCTGATGACATCTCAGAAAGAGAGTCAGTAAGAAGCTCCTGTATCCGACCAGGCTCCTGCCAGCACAGCCCCAGTGTCCCCTTAGGGGCACACTGCACTGCAGGAAGGAATGGCTGGACAGGAACGTGAGACAGGGGAAGACAGGCACCAAAGGAGTCTGGAGGCCAGGGCCAGGGCCTGAGAAGCAAAGTTACAAGAGCAGGGTAAAGAGATGGTGATTCTGGCCCTTTCCTCACTCTTCAATCCTCTTCAGGCCCTTCATTGTCCCTCTGTCTTCTTGGGCATTCTCCTGGCCTCTCCCCCTCCTTGGCCATGCTCTGTTTTGTCCTCTCGTCCCATTTCTGAGGCCTCACCCAGCCTCTTGTCCCCAGGCTAGTTCCATCCATCCACACTTGCCTCCCCAAAGCAGAGTCAGGGCTTGGCCAGGCTGGACTAGGGCAAGGTCAGGAGCAAGGGAAAGAAGTCCCCTTCAAGCCCAAGCCTAACTGAGAAACCCTCCCAGCCCAGTCCAACAAGTCATTTCTGCTGAGAGTGGAGAAAGCACAGGATTATATTTTTTCTCACCATCTAGCCCAGCACCTCTCTGACAAGCCCTGCAAAGGCTATCTGGACACTGACAACCCTGAGCTCAGAATGAGACATGAAAAATCTCCCCAGGAGGCCCAGCACCATGAAAACCAAATCCGTTCTGCTTCACTGATCTGCTTGGAGTACCCGTGGGTGCCCAGCCCAGGACTGAGGGCATGTTGGAGGCTGAAAAAGACCCCAGATGCCCCCTGTTTGAAAACCCACAGGGAACCTGGAAAGAAGCCAAGGGACCTGTGTGTGAGGGGGCGAGCCCAGCACCTAGCCATGGAGGAGCTCTGGCATGCTGTCCAGAGGTGACAGGAGAGTTCCCAAAGGGCATCTGACAAGCCTAAGACAGGAGCATGGGTCTGGGCATCACAAGCACCCGGGTTCCATGAACATGGAATCTTCATTCCCTCATTAAATTTACCATGGAAAATGGGACCAATCGTGTTAGAATTAGCTCTACCCAAGCCCCTGCCCAGCAACAGGACTCACCCCAACTGCTCTCAGGCCCACCCAGAGAAGACTGGTGTGGAACCCAGAAACAGGGAAGGAGTCTCCTCCCCGCAGCCCAGCCTTCTTCCCTACGTCACCCCTAAGGATGAGGGATCTTCTAAGCACACTCTGACCCATAATGCAGCCTCCTGCACAGCCTCACTCCCTTTCTCAGCTCCACACACTTTATTCCTCAAAAGCGAGCCTAAATCCCTCACCCCAGGAAGGTCAATCCCCAGCCTTGGGTGTGCCTACTATATGGAAAAGAGGGCAGGATTCCCTGTAGTATCCTTTCCCCCTTGGGGAATCTCCAGGCTTTCAGACTAGGGGATTTAGTCTCCTGCTGGGGCTGCCATAGCAAGATGACTGGGTAGCTCAATAACCAAGATGTATTTCTCCATGGTGGAGGCTGGAACTATGAGATCAAAGTTTGGGCAGGGTTGGTTTCCGGTGAGGGATTTCTTCCTGGCTTGAAGGGTATCCCCTTCTGGCTGTGTTCTCACATGGCCTTTTCTGTGGGCGTGTGCCCCTGACGTCTCTTCTTTTTCTCATAAGGACACCAGTCATGTGGGATTAGGGCTCCACCCTTATAATGCCATTTATCCTAATTACTTCCTAAAAAGTTCTATTTCCAAGTATAGTCACATTGGGGGTTATAGCTTTACCTTGTGACTCTGGAGAGAGATGATTCAGTCCACAACAGGAACCCTACAAACTAGCCCTGAAGAATGAATAGGCTGTCAAGAGAAGGAGGAGGCTCAGGGGCAGGGAAAATTTGCAGACCCAGAGAATGGACTTGGAGAAAAAGAGGTGGAGGTAGAGGGAGGTGTGGTACAAGAGGACCAGATATCAGGATGAAGAGTTTGTATTAAGTTCAGTGGCACAAAGAACAGGACCCTAGGGCTGGGATGTAGCTCAGTGGTGGAGTGCTTTCCTAGCATGTGCAGGGCCCTGGGTTTGATCCTCAGTACTGGAGAGAGAGAGAGAGAGAGAGAGAGAGAGAGAGAGAGAGAGAGAGAGAGAGAGAGAGAGAACCTGGCACCAAATTTCCCCGCTGACTTCCTCCTTGGGCCCCTCCTCCAGAGCAGCTGGGGTCACTGATGGAAAATACAGGACAGCCAATCACATGACATCGTTAGCACTGCACCTGCCCCTCCTGGCTGAATCCCAGTTAGGTCTCCTCATTGGCAAGATGGAGATAATAATGCCTTCCTCAGAGAACTGTAAACTTACGTAAGCAAGAAGTCTGTAGAATTATGTGCAGGAGAATATGATGACCCAAACAGTGTCCAGGCATCCAGGCCAGACCGTGGGACCCTCCTGGAGTAGAGGAGGCTTGGGGGAAGACGAGGAGGAAGGGAGATCCCTGGAAGAAAGGATGAATCTAGAAAAGGATGGGATGCTGCATTTCAAAAAGCAAACCAGAAGTGACCTGGCTGTCCCCTGGAGCCCCTCTCCCTAGCCAGACACCTGGTGGACCTTCTAAACTCTCTCCTCAAGACCTAGAAAGGAGATGGTTTAGGGGAAACCAGAAACATCTTCATGTCCCTCTTTTTTCCCAGGGATTGGGGTTTGCTTTAACATGACAATTTCCTCTGCTGCCAGAGCTTATATACAAAGCACCTTTCTTTCCCTCAACTCCATCAGGAATGTCAAGTGGGGACCTGGTGGCAGATAATGACAGCCTAGCCCCTCTCAGTGGACTGGCCCCCTGTGCCCCTTCCCGGTCTGTTCTGCGTCCTGCCTCCTGCTTCTGTCCTTCCTTGCCATGGCTCTGCCCTTCCCCTGGCCTCGGCTTCACCTTGCTGAGTCACAGGCATCCTCACTCCCTGGCCCCCGCCACCACCGTTGTCTCGACACAGCCAAAACTCACTTTGAATCCTAGACGGGAAGGCAGGCGGCAGCTTGTGACTGGCTGGCCCGACTTCTGTTCCGGAGGGGAATTGGCAGCCCAGTCTAAAGGTGCATTAGGAAGCACAGAAACAGCCTTGGCAGGCCTGGTTCCCAGCCTCCTCCTGCCACAGGCGGCGTGGAGAAGCTCATGCCCTTCTTTCTGCCTTGGCTTCTCCATCTCTAAAATGGGGGTGCCCTGCTGCCCTGTCTGCCTCTAAGGGTCTGAGAAGGTGCAAGAAATGCACATGCAATAAGAGATCTAGAGGGACATGACAGGCAGAAACACTGGCAAAGACATAAAATACATGCTTTGGCATGATTTCTATTATTTTTATTGTCTGAAATACGATGAGAACGCAGGGCTGGCAAACTCACCCTGGTACAACAGGCAAGGGCTGAAGATGGGCTGCAGAGCCAGGATGCTTGGAGTTCAGAGACCCCTAGTGGCCCAAATGGGGCATTGACACGGATCCAGGCAGGAGGCCGGCAGCCAGCAAGCCTAGGGAGTCAGTCTGTTCCCTAGTGTCCTGCCGGCACCTAGACAGCACCAGAGACAAGTGGCCATGCCCACTCCACACATACCTTGAGGGGATTACCCTGGCTGCAATCAGGAGCCCTAGCCCTGAACTCTGCCTCAGTCACCCCTGTCCCATAGGTCAAATCTTCCAGGGTGAAGTGAAGCTCAATGCCATGCCCTGGCCTAAGCAGGGGCTCTGTCTGCAACCAGAAACCAGCTTGATTCAGCAAAACCTGCTGCCTTCAGTGACTGGGGCTGGGTCACAGATGAGCTTTGGGTACATGAGAGCCTCGTGGGTGTAGGAGATGGGGCAGGCATTCCGTCCACCTCGGATTCTGGTATCTGGCTAACAAGATCTGCTCAAAGTGGAGGAGGAGCCCCCAAAGGTTCTCCAATCCAGAGAAACCCCCTGAAATAAGGCCCCTACAGGCACTGTGCTGTGAAGGGAGATGGGCGGAGCTTTGGGAGGCTGAGCCTGTTAGCCTCAGTGTGTGGTCAGAGTATGGGTGGGTGTGGTCTAAGCACTTGCATCCATGTACCTGTGAGTGTGGGGTGCTGTCCCCTCCTCCCCAGGCCCACTCTAACATTGTCCCTGTGTTCTATTGCAGATGAACCGGCCAATCCAGGTGAAGCCCGCGGACAGCGAGAGCCGAGGAGGTAGTAGCTGCCTGCGCCAGCCCCCTTCACGTGAGGGCCCACTTGTCTCTGCCCCTCACTTCCCCTCTTCCCTTCCCTCTTGTCCGGGTGCAGCGACTCCTTGCTGCCTCCTCCTGTCTCTCTGGGGACCTCATGGTTGGGGATGGGGACAGGGCTTTGGAGTTTGGGGTGACTGATATGGATAGGCAGTGGGGGAAGGGGAGACTGGATTCAGCTGGCTGCTGGTCTGTGCCTCTAAGAAAACAAGTCACTTGTCTTAGGCATTTTTCTGCCTGCTCCTGGACACCCCAAAGGGCGTGTCCACTTCCATGATGTCAAGAAAAGCCCTGTTGACTATTCCAATAGATGCCTGACCAGGAGGTGGGCAGTGGATGTAGCTGTACCCAAAGAGTATGCAGGCTGGAGGGGGTATAGCTACGGTGGGGGTGGGTGGACAACAAGGCTGACATGGGACTAAAAATCAGAGAGGTTGTATTAACAGTGGACAGAGAAGTACATGGTCTCACCCATAAATGCTTGCCCCAGAATGCAGAGCCTGCCAGAGCCTGGCATGAGGTAGCCAAGCCCCACTGCAGAGCCCAGGTGTAAGGAACTGTCTCCCTGAAGCCCTGGCCAGCCAGAGGCAATTCTGTTTCCAGGGGATAGCCTCTCTAGAGTCACAGTGCCTTTATGGCTACTACTCACCTTCGCCTCAGTTCCAGGAGCAACCTGGGTCCACTCTGGGCACAGAACTGCCCCTAGCATCACCATCACACCCCATAGGGTCCAAACACACTACAATTTTAAAGAAGACCTCCAGCACCAAATGTCAAGCCTCTACCACCCAAGTACTGGCTCCTCCTGCAACAAACTGCCCCATGGTGCAGAGCCTGTCTCACCTCACCCGATAAAGACAAAGAGACCTACCAGCCAAATGGAGGAAACCATTTGCAGACCCCTGCTAGTCTTCCCTTCCTGCCTTGCCTCCTGTGGGACGCGGGTATCATTCTTCCTGATGCTCCTGCTGACTGCCAGCCCCTTGCCACCTCTTACTGGGCCTCATGCCTACTGGGCCCTGCCCAGCCTCAGCCCCAAATTGTGCTCTCAGAGCACGAAACTCAGTCCCGGACCAGTCCAAAGACCCTCCAGGAGGCGCTCCCTCCTGGCCTCTGGTGAGAAGATCCACCCCAAGCACACACAAAAGCCCTACTAGATGGTAAGCTGAGCAGCCACACGGGAAGGACCAGGACAGAGAAGGAGGAACCATCTGCTCCAGCCTTTTCCAGCAATGGGAGAGGCCTTGGCCACCCTTCTACCTCAGAGGAAACTCCCACAGAATAGGAACTGCCTAGAAAGGGTCTAAAAATCCAGAACACTCCATCACACTCACTCAGAGAAATGTACCCTGAAAAAGTGACATTGGATACAGCTCCCTGCCCAAGGTCTCCCAGCCTACTCTTCCCCCGGCAGGCCTAGTGGGTCCAGCATGAGAGCCCAGGTAATAGGACAAGGAAATCAGTCACAACCATCTGCTGCCTCTTGGCCTGGAGCTCCTGGCTTCTTCTGCAAGTCCCCACCACCCTAGGCTGTCACCCAAGTGCCCATGTTCACCACCCTCCCCAGGCCTAGAACTTTCTACTCTTTGAGTCTTTCTGCTCCTTAGCTCAGCAGGGTACTAAGGAAGTTCTCTCTCCCTCACCCTTCGCCACTACAAAAATTTACCAGGGTTAAACTAAGGGCAAAAGATGAAATGAGCTAAAGCTACTTACAAATTTGGAGAGTTAATTGTGCTGGAGGGGATTGTAATGTGACTTATCACAGGTGGCCTGCTTGCCCCTCCCAGAACACTCCCTCATCCCCTCCAGCTCAGGCTGCTCAACTAGGCACAAGGCCTCTGTGGCTGAGGTCCCCAGCTCGCCTGGGCCTGGAGTTCAAACACCAGGGCTTGGCTGGCATCTTTGTGCTGCTTGAAGGAATCATGCCCCAAGATACAGACACACCACCCCAGGCCCACTGAGTCCTTCCTGTCCCGAGGATGCTGATAATCCAGGTCCACTTAGTTGAGGGGTAAAGATGGCTCAAGTGTGAGGGGCCTGAGTGTGCAAAGCCTGCCTGGCGTAGGATGCCTGCTTCTGTTCTTTCCCTGGATAATAAGAGTACATCCTCACTCTTCCTTACCTAGGACTCATGAGGCTAATGGCAGCGCAAGGGGCCTCTCCTGGAAACCATCTCCAGTAGGCAGGCACAGCAGAGCCAGGGTCCCTGGTCACCCAGGCATGCAGGGACTCACCTGCAGCACCCTGTTGAGGTAGCTGGACCAGGATGCAGCGTCAGAGGGAAATCTCAAGAGTACACAGGTAGCTTGCACAGTAGTCCTAGATGGGTGCCCCGAGGAAGGGACAGCTAGAAGCGTTGGAGGAAGTGACATTTGAAGAGGGTCAATTCTTGTCTTGAAGGAGGGGAGATTCCACACCTGGAAGAGAACAAGAATGGCATGAACAAGGCCCCACCCAGTCTGCAGCTGAAGGGGGTGGGCAATGCCCTCTGCCCAGCAGCCCAGCTGAGCGCTACCTCTAGCCCTGGGAGGCAATGGCTCTCTGACTCGGAGTTGCTAACCTCATCTCCTTTCTCCCATATATCTCCTGCCACTGACGCTTGCCCCAAGCCAGATTAATCAGCTCTTTTATTCTTCCTGCGGTAGAAAGGGGAGAAAGAGAGCCAAACCTAAACATCTATCTATTAATTGCATATTCAATATTAAACAGTGAGATGGTCCTGAGTCAGCGTTATCACCAAGCAATTTTTTTTTTTAAAGAAAGTTGGTTTAAAATAATTTAATATCCATTAAATACTTCTTGGGAGGGGAGTAGGGAGGAAAACTTAAAACAGATTAAAGAAACAGGGGAAAGAAGAATGTGGAAGGACTGTGGCGGGGAGAGTGGGGTCAAAAAGGAGGATGTGAGGGGAGATGGGAAGGAGGAGAGAAGAGAGGAAAGAAGGAAGTGAGAGCAGTAGAGAGATGAGGGGGGGAAGCAGAAGGAAGAGAGAGAGAGACCTGAAGAAAATGGGTTGGGGGAGGAGAATGCAGGGGCAAGAAAGGACATGACCCCACAGGAAGTGGGCCCCAGCCCTGCTCACTGGTGAGTCCTGTCCTCACCCCAGTTCTGGGAACTTCCCTTTCCAACCACACAGCGTCCCAGAGACTTGATATAGGATACATATGCCCCTGTGACCTCCACCCAGCTCCCTCTGGTAGCACTTGATGCCGGTAAGCAGCATTTTCTGCTCAGGAAACATGTTGGGGCCCTGGCCAGGTCAGGAGGAAGCTTCCTCTGCCTCACCACACCGGAGGCTGCAGCCCATCAATGGGCTTCTCTGCCCATTCTCCTTCTTCTAGAGGTCACATCAGCCCACATGCATGAGAACAGGGCCTCTGGGAATGGTCATGGATGGAATATGGGCAAGAGGTCTGTGAGTGCAGGGCCTGAGGCTGGCAGGCCACTGTCCTGGCAGGAGCTCAGTTCTTCCTCTCCAATGCGAGGTTAGGCCTACCACCTGAGAGGCAAAGTGGAGGCCGGGCCCAGCAGGGTCTCAGAGTAACCAGGCCAACTTTTGGTAGGTCACTGTCTTCAAACATCCAGGTTTGATGCATCAGGGAGCCTCCCTGATGGGGAATGCAGCCTTCCAGGGTGTGCCATCCCCACCCCCAGGTCTGGGAACTGGAACCCTCACATGCACAATACATACAGCTCGTCATCTCTGTGGCAGAATCAGGCACAATTGCTTAGACACACTGCCAAAAGCAGTCACCAGCTCACACAGACCTTTGACTGTGGCAGGTAAGGCCCAAATTAGAAGGAAGGACAAGCTGCTAAGGAGCTCCCAAGTTCCTCCCTGGCCAGTGGGGACTGTTCTGGGGAGGCCTTTGCCAGGCTCAGGGAAGGGAGGCTGAGAATCTGGATGGAGGCCCCATAAGCCAGGGGTGGAGGTCAGACGAATGCAGGAAGGGGCTGCGCCTGCCACAATGAGATCCTGTTTTCCCCCACTGACTATAGGACTGGGGGTAGACTGGAGAGGGACCAGTGGGGGGCAGTCCTGAGCTTCAGCCATGAAGGGAGCTCCTAGAGGTATTTGTAGTAAACTACTATAGGCAGACATCCCAGGGAAGCTTCTAGAAGGTGAAGAAACTTCTTTATGCCCCACCCACCCTCCCCAAATCCTGTAGAGTTGCCTGGAGCTAAACTATCCCATTGAAGTTTCCATTTGCTCAGTGGGCCTTCGTTTCTAGAGTTGGCATGCCTGTGCCCCTCTCTCTCTGATTTCTGTGTACCTGTCTCTTAACTTGTCTCTGGTGGGACCTGGGCAGGGCAAGGAAGGCATCAGAGGTTTAGGGCAGATGCAACAGCCATGATTTACTCCATTTCCACTTGGAGCCCGGAGGCAGGTGCTGGCCAAGTCATTTAGCCACGGTCTCTCGGCCTTTTGCTGCCCCTGGTACATTTAACGGCATCTTCAGGGTGTCCTTCCCCTCACTGCATAGCACTGGTGTGGTGGCAGAGTCCCGCTGGGCCGGCTAATGAGGTTGGACACAATGCGTGTGACGCAGCTCCCAGGCCCTCCCGGAGGCCACGTTCCCCACCATAAACCCAGGCCGACTCCCTCCTCCCAGCCCCTCCACCATCTGTAGCCCCATCGGGTCCTGTGGCTTTCTAAATCCTATTAAGTTCCTCATCTCTCCTCCGAGCATTATTTTATTTCTAAACAGACAAACCAAGTGCTGTCCATGCGGGCTCTGAGGGGCTGTTGAGGACCAGCTGAGGGGCATTGGGCCCAAGTGGGGCAGCTGCATGCTCCTGCAATGGTTCTGACCCCGGGACATGGCCTGGGAGACCCATGGCTGCAATTGTTGGCCTCCCAATGCTGCATTTCTCACTTCCAGACTCTCTTGGCTGTTCAATTCTGTACACTGGAAAGGCAATTTAGCCAGCGTTCAGATGAAATGGACGTGTAGGCTGGTCCCGTTTTATAAAAACGCAATATACAAAAGTGCC